TGGGCAATTCTGTATATTGAGAAGCTGTATAACTAGTGGAAAGCATATGAAGCACATTGAGATAATTAATTCCTTAAAGCACTTTGGCTTCAAAATGAGTTGGCAATTAAAAAAAATCTATACCACAAAAAAGGCACTAAATTTCAGTTTGGGATACGAAGTGAATGCTGCCACTAAATGATCAGCACTCAATGGTCCAAAACCTGCAGAATCTTTGTGGTCACTCCATCTCCTGAATGGATAGACTGGACAGTCATAAAAAAAAATAGCAATTGCAAACGGATGAGAAACCAAAAGTAGAGGGAATGAGGGGAAAAAACAAACAAAACAAAAACCCACTTTGGGCCTTGAGGGTGGTAAATTATGTTTGCCTCCAACACTGTATACCTATCTGAGGCACCGCATGGCCCATCTGATTGGTCTGAAAGTGCCATCATCACAGGAATTGCCCCACACTGGGTAGCCCCAGGACTCAGAACTGTTGCAGAAGTTTTAAATCAAAAAGGTGTGAAACACGTCAAAATACATAAACCTGAGAAACTTGTAAAAGTAAACTTGTAAAAGCCCAAACATGTTCTCTGGATGGGTAGGAGCATGGCCTGTTGCCAGTGTCAGTGCTTCAGGCACCGAAGCAAATAGTGTGCATAGGTCCTATTTTGAGATACTGTTTGGTAGACTCCCTATGAGAGGACTGCCCTTTCCACAAGAAATAAAACTGATACACTGTTTACTGAAAACGTAAACAAAAGTTACATAAACAACTTTCCCAATTCTCATGCTAAACCACACTCCCTGCACATGGGGAACTGGGTAGCAGTTGAGACTTTCCAAAGAAAGGACTAAAGCCAAGGTCTGATGGACCCTTTCATGTAGTCCACCTGAAATTAGGGTATATGGAAAATAGGACCTGAATGTCAGAGTCCGTCACAGATCCGTTGAATAGAATGTTGCCAGGGAAAGTCACTTTTTAAAAAAAGTAATCTTTGTACTCCCATGGGAGTACACATTCATGCTACACATGGAAACCAACATGAGGGCAGGTGCTGTGTCCCTCAATGAACGCAGAGAAAAGGATTTTATGGCAAGTACAAAAACCCTATTTTCTCTTCCATTCATTCCATTCTGTTCCGTTCAGGACACAGCAGGATCTTTAGGATCTTGACCAATGGGAAATCCCAAAGTGATTAACAAAAAGTTGAATAAACAGAACAGAATAGAACATACCCACAACCGGAAGAGATGCTCACACCTCTACCTGCAAGATCTTGTGGCCAAAGCTTGCATCCGCTACTATGCACACCCTGTAAAACTTAGAGAAAGTGTAGACAGAAGACCAAGTTGGAGCCTTACAAACTTGGTGATGAAAAACCCAGGAAGGACTGAAGGCTCTGGTAGAATGAGCAGTGGACTGAAAAGGAGGTTCTTGACCATTATCAGCAAAAACTTGAACCACAGTCTGATGAATCCACCCGTATATAGTGGCCAACTAAGCAGCCTGACCCTTGCTAGGGCCATCTGGGACAATGAACAAAGAATCAGTCTTCCGAACATTAGCTGTAGTAGCCAGATAGACTCAAATAGCCCTGACCACATCCACAGAAAAGGCAGAACGATATCTTAATTTAAATGAGAACACAAAACCACCTTCAAACAAAACAAACAAAAGAGGTTGGAGAACAAATTTGTCCTGATGCAGAATCAAAAATGGCTGTGCACAGGACAAAGCCGCCAACAGACACCCGCCGAGCTGAAGTGATAGCAACCTTCATAGCTTAAGACGACAAAGCAATCTTCTGAAAGTTTTCAAAAGAAGACTTCTGTGAAGCCGAGAAAAACAGATTTAAATCCCAAGGAGGCAAAGGAGATTTAACAGGAGGTGCAACCCCAAGCAAAACCCTGGATAAAGGAGCGAACCAGAGAATGTGTTGCCAAAGGCCACTGAAAAAGAACTGCCAAGGTGAAATTCTGTCCCTTGACCATTCAGCACCAAACACTAATACACCCCTCGATGCAGGAATGCCAGGATTCTGGTAATAGAGAACCACCGCGGATGCAAAGTAGGCCGTCAAAGTTTGACATTTCATTATCCGAGAACTAGGCTTACGAGCTCTCAGCAATAAATGACTGCGGAAGACAGACCTCTGTCCCTCAGGACCTGGCTTTCAACAGTCACACCATTAAAGCCAGCGACTGTTAAGCAGGATGAAATATTGGGCCCCGTGAAAGAAGATCCGGACGCAACAGGGCATGCCAGGGAGCGTCCGCGAGTAGACAAAGTCTGAGTACCAGGCTCAACACGGCCAGTCAGCAGCCATCAGGATCACAGGAATGCCTTCCAACTCTATTCTTTGCAGCAACCGGGGCAGAAGATTCAGAAAATACCTTTCCCACAGTGCCACCAATGCACCTTTCAACTGATCCAGAGTCCTGGCTGCGAATCTCGGGACCTTCTGATTGAGCCTGGAGGCTAGAAGATCCTCATCTGGCAAGCCCCACTGATGGCAGAGTTGATGGAACACCTCCTGGTGAAGGGACCACTCTACCTGATCCAGATCCTGACGACTCAGGTAATCTGCCTGCCAGTTTTCCAACCCTGGAATTTAAACAACAGACAAAGCCGAGGCGTAGTTTTCGGCCAAAGACAGGAACCAAGACACCTCCAGTGTTGCTACAGGACTCTCTGTGCCTCCTTGATTATTGACATACGCCGCGGCAATGTGTGACTACACACAAACTGGATGCTTCTCGAGAAGGACCGTCCTGCAACAAAGGGACAGAAAATCACCAACAGCTCCAGGACATTGATGGACAACCTGGATTCTGACAAGGTCCACAGGCCATGAGCTAACAGTTGTCCAAGAGCTCGTCCCCAGACAGACAGGCTGGTATGAAAAAGAAATTTTACATCTCTGCCACAGGACAGTTTCCCATGGCTGCCATAATGGGGTTAATCCAACGGGCACAAATTACATGTTTGGCATGAAATGTCATGTGATGCTTAAAAGTGTATAAACTGCTTTTTCTGTCTGCACATTGGAGCCACCACTCATGCATGAGCCAGGATGCATTTCCTTTCTGATTAGCCATGTTCCAGAAAATTCTGTTTTAGGTTGCCTAAAAAAAAAAAAAGGCATGTACAATATATAGTTACTGCAAACTTCATATCTCAACAGCCAGCAGCAACATCTCTGGAGAATATGTGTCTCCCCTTTTCTCATTCACCAACCAAACACCGGAATATATTTATACAAACCCTTCATTGTCCCACAAACATTCCCAAACAACCTAACTCTACTACTCATTCTATTAATGCACTCTACTACTACGCATTCTATTAATGCAACTAAATACTATGAGGGGAATTTATCAAAACTGTAGCAGACAGAATCTGGAGCAGTTACCCATAGCAACCAAATTAGCTTCTCTTCAGTTTATTCAGTTAAGATTTGAAAATGCACGAGAAGCTGATTGGTTGCCATGCACAACTGCTCCATATTTTGTTTGCTCTAGTTTCGATAAATCCCCCTCTATATATGTTTATTATACAGTTCCTATAAATAAATAAAAAATGACCCCCCTTGGGAGTTTTCATTTTTTGTCATATTGCACCTCAGCGAATTTTTCTTCTAATTTACAGTGATTAACAAAGACTAGTGTTAAATTGAAAACAGAGCTCTTGCAAACTGAGATAAATTGTATACCATGAAAAAAAGACTGAATAAGTATATTCCACCCTTCTAGTTAGTATTTGGTATATGAACCTGGAATGGCATAAAATTTTCCTCCATTCCCCTTAGTATTTTGCTGCATTCAGTCTACCCAAGACCCTCACAAACGTTGCAGGGTTCACTGCAGAGAAGCATTACCAAATCATGAAGATGCCGCCAACATGCTTCACAGGATACATTCTGTGTTTATAATGATGTGCAGTGTTTGCCTTACACCAAAATTGGCATTTAGCCAGATGACAAAAAACAAAAACAAAAAAAAGCTACATTTTGCTTTAATCAGACCATAGAACCTTCTTCCAGCTGAATTCAGAGTTGTGTGCCTTCTGGCTTACTGTAGGCAAGATTTCATGTGAGGATTAGTTCAGAGCTTCCTTTTTCACACAGCTGTTGCATGCGTTGTCTCCAATCTTAACCAGAGGTTTAAAATAGCTGATGTTGATAGCATGTTCTTGGCACATTTATAACTGTGCCATAGTCTAATTTGTATTTTAAAATTGATTCACATGTGCTCTGAACAATATTTAGACATTTATAGAGTTGCTTAGAGTGTTCTTTGATCTTTGTGGTACATTATGCCACAATACTGACTCGACAGAAGTTGGACCTTCCAAAAACATGAGTATTGATACTACAATCAATTGAAACCCCTTGTTAGCTAATTATATGATTACATTTTCCATGAAAATAAAATGCAAACATCTCTAAGAGGATTAAATACTTTTTAAAGCAACATTAAACATTTCTTCTCTAAGGGCAGATATGCTTTATGTTGGATTGTACAGTATTTTACTGTTTATTACACTACAGCAAGTTACCGAAAATCAACCAGTTATAAAGTGAATTTTGAAAGCGCCAAGTCTAAATCACAAGTTCTGTGTCTGTCTTGAAATTCATGAGAAAACTGAACTTAAAGTGACATTAAACCCTCAGATTTTTGAACATAAAACAATACTGTAATGTGTACCTTACTGTGATCAATGGTTGTTTCTTCTCTTTGCTGCTCTTCCTTTTAAATCTGTTCTCATGCTGAGGGTTTAATGTCACTTTAACTGAAGTGAAGTTAAATATCCACTACAAAGAGTGTGGTTAGTACCAAGTCCCCCTCTAGCAACTTTAAATAATAGCTCCTCTGTCATGGACTAATGAGAAGTGGGGGACTCAGATTTGCACTGCTAACAGTTGGTTTACACATGCAATATACAAGGTGTGTGTGGTTATAAAAGAGTGAGATGTCACTTCATTTACTGGTCAGAGAAACACAGACAATACCTGCAGCAAATTCTTCAATCGTCATAAGAGGGAAACGGATAAGCGACAATGCTTTGCCAAGTGCTTTGCGTTTGTTCTCTGATGATATTGGTTGCTGCTGCCGCTGGCATTCTGCCTCAGACCAGCGAACTACTGCATTAAAGAGTCTGATTTCACGGATCCCCAATGTATCCCGTTCCAACACTGCAACTAGAGTATCTGCAAGACAAACAAGTGAGGGGAGGGATCATTTTAGGGCATTTAGAGGGGGGGGGAAAAAAAGCTAACTGGTGAAAGAATTGCACAAATATTACATACACAATAACCATCTGAAGAGTAGGTCTGCCAAACTCAGATTGAAACAGAATACTTAATGGAGAAGGATAATAGTAGTCCCATCAGGGATAGTAGTCCCAATTGAGAGACTACCAATTTTGTCTAGCCATCAGGCTAGACACAAATGAATGAAAGCATATACTAACCAACCCCATTCCCCCTTTCCTAATGTGTTCAGGTGACTCTGTACAGTGTTTCAATTAGAGAGAGGGAGCCCGAGCTTCTGATGTACTCTTTAGAAAACCGATAATGCTCTCTAAAGCATTTGCCATGGTTGTACTCTATATATAATGTTTATTTCTAAAACAAGAAGATTGTACATAAGTACTGCAAACACAAATATAAAAATGTAAAAAGTTAAGAGTCCAATACTTTAATGTTCCCAGATATGGCAAACTAGCTAAACCACTCAGTATCCCAAGATTAGGGGCCCATTCACACCTCTGACCTACATGCTTTTCCATTGAAATCAAAACAAAGAAATTAAAGTGCAATGCAAAGTGTTATTAGAAAGTGTGTTACAGCCTGGGTGAACAAGTGCAAACATGCAGCAATGAACATCGGTGCATTTTCATGCACTTTCAGTGCCTAAAACAAGGTATGAATGCAGCCTATAGTAAACGTGTTTTGAGAGAAATGCAGAATTGACATTAGTAATCCTTCTAATACTACTAGTAGTCTGACTGTCTCTGCTTGCAAAATTTTGAGTCACTGACCTGGAACAGGCATGCTGGAAAGATATTTGGAGCAAAATCAAAAACATTTAATTGGCATATATAACTTGGTCCAGCTCAGTGAATCAAAGAATTGTAGCCTTAATATTTGCATGCCTGTCTTCTGAAGAATTGTTAAGTAATGGCAGTCCGCATATTTACTTAGAACAGACTTCCTAAAAATCGTTTGGAAATTACGGGTTTTGAACCCTGCGGTAATTTTACAGTGCTGAAAATGAAGCATTATCAATCTACTTGATTAAAAAATGCCAGTACAGTTTAGCCCTAACAACCACCAGAGTGTGTCTATTTGTTTTGTGTCGAGGGGGAAAAATAAAATAAATAAAATCTGATGGCTTATTCCTCTACGGTTTCAAAAGTGGAAAAGCCAGCTGTCACAGCAGCATGTTGAGAAGTGAGGCGCTCGGCCAGGATCTGACAGCCGGCGGCTCTCTCCGCCCCCCCCCCGGCTGCAGCGCTTCACTTCTCGGATCCCTGCTGCTTCTGCCCCTACAGGCGGGGGAGAGCAGTGGGCATCCAGAGGAAAAGCCACAGGCTGTGCAGCCCCTCTGTGCTTGGCCGAGTGACAGAGGATCGGTACATATCGGTGATATGTACCGATCCTCTGTGCACAGAGCAAACATTGGAGTGATCAGCTGATCACGCCAGTGTTTGTAAATGACTGGGGACACCTAGTACTAAGTGTCCCCAGTTATGAAGGAACAGAAGTGCTTTGCATCACTTCCCGTTTATTCATGAGTTTCTAAATGGGTAGTAGCACTCTGTGCAGAGGCTTCCCCCCATTCATAAACTAGTTGATAGAAAATATTTTCTGAATGAATAGGAAGCCTCTGTACTTTCCATTCATTTAAACAGAGTATGCAGAAAAAAGAGATTGAGGACTCAATTTCTTTTTCTATTTTAAAAGGGAAATATCAGGGGGCTGTTTAGCCCCCTAATATTTACCAAAAAAAACCCCGCAACAGTCAAAAACAAAAAAAAAACCCCACACATCCTAGAGGCAGGCGCATGTCATCACACATGCGCGGTGATGTCACACGCCTGTTGGGGGGGGGGCACTTTTTTTTGTTCTTGCCTCTGGTGCAAAAGGAGCTAGCTACGGCTCTGTGGCAGGGCTACAAATTAGCAGTGTGCTGTTATGTGCCCACAGGAAAAACGCAGAAACCATTGATGCACTGGTAAGATGGGAACATGCAGGTATGGTACATGTCCTTCAAGTGTACAGAAGCAAGAAAGTCCCAGTACTTATGGAAGGTGATGAAAAACCTGGTGCATTCCATACGGAAACTCTGGGCTTGAGTAAAACACATTTTGAACTTTCATATCCAAGATAGGGCAGAGGCCACCTTTGGGTTTGGGAACAATGAACAGCTTGGAGAAAATTCTTGAAAACATTCTGCCACATGAACTGGTGCAATAACACCTTGATCCAACACAGAAAGGATGGAGGTGAGAAACGGAGGTGAAAAACGGAGGAGGCGGGCAGAGAGTTAAACACAGTAGGTTGCATCTCTGGAATGCCACCTAAAGAACCCAAGCAGCAGAGATGCAAGTTGTCCAGGTGTTCAAAGATTTAAAGTAACGTCACAGCCAGGATGCGGTGAAGTGCAGGACCTGCCAGCAAGAGCTGGGTTCTAGAGTGCGCTTCCAATCGCTTATCATCTGGGTCCTTAAAGACAGGCACATCTTCTGCTGGAAGAGTAGGTACCTGGTTAAGGCAAGAAACTGAGATCCACTGTGGGGATAGACTACTTTTGCACAAAATCCTCCCCAGACAAATAAAAAGCTAACAACCACGGGGGGAGCAAACCGCTATTCAGGGTGTATCCAGTTTCTGTAGAGAAAAAGTTGGAAATGAAGGTGCAACAGGAAAGTCTTTGTGACCTTATAACCATTTATAATCATAATCCTAATAGCTATAGTAGCTGGGATTTTGGTAATATTTTAAACTTTCAGATGCCAGATTACTAGTAAAAAAGTGATTCACATATATATACTAGTAATGCAGCCATCACAACCCCAATGTCTCCCTAAAGAGAACCTTTCACCAACAAGAAAAAGGGGAGCACGCAAAAGGGAGATGATAAGAGCAGAGGGAATGGACCTGTACCCTGGATTTTACAGGCACAAAAAAAATAATCCCATTTTATTACTCTTATAGTACAGGACACAAGAACTTCACTCTAACCCTGGGATGTCCACAAGCAGTCCAACTGATGGCAGGGCAACAAAGCAAATGCTAAAAGGCCGTTAGGAATAATGTGTAAAAAAGGTGCTCAGGAGGGTTCAGAGCGAAACTTAAAGGAGAACTATGGGGTCAGGGCTTTTCCCCATAGTTCTCCTTAGGGTAACGGGAGGACACAAACTAGCGTCCTCCCGTTACCCTAAGCTCAGTATACTGCGAGCTACAGCTTGCGGTATACTGAGACGCCACGGCCGGAGCGGATCCCGACATCGATGTCGAGATCCGCCCAGCTGCATGAGTGACAGCTGGCTCTGCCTATCTAGAGGCAGAGCCAGCTGTACTTGCCCCCTCCCCCATCCATTCCGCCAGTCAGCGCTGGAGTGCTCACTGGCGGAACGGATGGGGGAGGGGGGAATCCAGCCCCTCCCCTGTCACAGCAGAGAGCCGTGACAGGATCGAGAGGTGAGTGAACGCCGGTATATGTTCGCTCACCTCCCGATCTACTGAGCCGACCTGTGACAGTCTCATTGTCACAGGTCGGCTAGAACTATGAGGCGAGTGAAAAGCACTCACCTCATAGTTCTCCTTTAA